TTAGTACCTAAGTTATTAAGTCATTCGTTGATTCGTATACCTATTATTTATTATTAATGATAATTTTGATCTTATTTCAGGTATTAGTTGGTGGGTGTTAATAACACATAAACATCGTGTTATACTATTATCGTCAGGAACTAGGAAAAGGCTAAAAAAACTTTGTACACAAGTCTCAAGGAAAAATAAAATAATATTTTATGCAGTTCAAAATGACAAATGTCATGCACTAACTTATGCAACAATAAATAAATATATAAATGTACAAGTCATGCAACTAAATAATGTACATGTTTAAAAATAAACTAAAATAGCCAATAGGTAGGTAATACACTTATATTCATTAAACACTATTCAAAGCTTCAGTCTTTACCACGGCTAATGGCTATAGATAGTATCCATAGATGGTTGCCCACCGACGATCGACCCACGATCCCCATGGGTACTTGAAAAGTGTCTGCCGAAATTAATGATCTCTATAATCAGTATTAAAGTTAAATTAAACAGCTGGAGATTTAAGTGAGCAATAGAGCTCATAATATAGCATAGTGACTATCACAATATCACGCAACTACAATTTACATACCTAATACATTTGACAGGTAACTGAATTTATAGTCACTACAACAAATAAGCACTAATGTGGAAATCTCCAGCTGTTTAATACTGATTATGGAGAATCATTTCGGCAGACACTTTTCTAAATTCGTTGGGCATCCATACTATCTTTAATCGTGGTCTTTATGTACCGTATATATGTTATTGAACATAAAAATGGAGTTCAGGCGTTCTATAAAAATCCTAGGAATTGAATCGAATTCATAGTCGGAAATCGAGGGGGGTGCTTAAGGAGGCTGAGCCTCCTTCCCCCCCAAAAAAAAGTCCGTCAAACCCCCTTAAAAATTGAATGGATTTCCGGCTATAGAATAGATTATAAAATATGCCTTGTGGCTTGTTGGCATAATGATATAACATTAAAATGTTCAATATATTTCAGTATTTCACGGAACCTAATCTTGTATCAAAATTTTAGGGCCTGGAAATATGTTGATATACATAATAACGGTTTTTGTAAATTTTTGTATATTGTTTTGAACTGTTGTAGATCTTTTAAATAAATAGTATTTAATATTAAAATTTAAATTGTTATGACTACATAATATTCGTTGAACTTTAAAAATAACTTATGATATCGGAAAACAACTGTTTTTTAGATACGTGTACATAATATTACAGGCCATTATTAGTAATTATTATCAATATAATAATCCAAATATTTGTATGAATCAGTGGAGTAACTGAGTAAATATGCTGAAAGATTATGATAATTAAATAGATATGTTCAATTACATAACACTTTACTCTGGATAAAAGTATATAACCATGTATATACATATATCAATCATATACATAAGAAAATTATTTTTGAAAAATTGGAAATTCATGTACTTAAATAAGACTTTTATATTTTAATAGTAACCGAAAATAACACAGGGACCCTCGATTCCATGATTGATTATGTGGATACTGATTATACATAAGTTACAAGGTAAATATTGTGAAAACATCCAATTTTGTTTCATTTCAATAATGACTAGGTACTTGGATATTTTTTTGTATAATTGTCCCTATTAATTTGTTTGATTATCATCATCAATCAAAAAAACTGAACAATAAGCAAAAAGTGTATATGATCCCTCCAATAAGCGTAGCATGTGTTTAGAGTGAGTGAGTTCAAAGACTAATAATAAATTTAAAAAAAATAAATAAAAAAAAAAATATATTTATACACCATATTATATATATTTGTAATATTAATAAAAAAAATATAATAATAATACTAATAATATAATATAGATTTAATAATTATATTAAGATATTATCAAAGTTTAAATGCTTAATGTACTTTGCAAGCATTTTCTTATAATTACATTTTTTTAAATCAATGTTTAATTTTTTACATACATTTGTACAACTACATAAATATAATTGATTATTAAACGCATTATCACAAAATATATATTGTAGTAAAATTTTGTAAGGATTCCTTAATCATAATATATAATAGGTACACACAAACAAATTTCAAAGTAAATAATAAATTATACATCATACATATTACATATAATTATTATTAAACATATTTACAAACAATGGGACATAAATATTTCAAGACGTTATATTAGGTTTACAGTATGCATAATAATCGTATAATAAATAATTCATATGATAAAATAAAATAAGTTTCAATGAAGAAAATGATTTTAAAAAAAAATTATAATAATAATAATAATTGTATCAATCAACTGAATTAGTGTTATTGGAGTGTCGTTAAATTAAGAACATGACATGTACGTATTATTAATTTATTTGAACAATAGTATATGGTATATTAATATGAGACCATAAAAATTAACAACCCTCGACAAAAATACACGACTAACATTGTTACGAAAAGTAATAACATTCATCGTCCATCAAACTAGCTTATAGTAACAATTAATAAATTGCGTGATGGCGAAACTATCACTAAAATGTTGACACGGACCTAAAACAATACATTTTCTCTTGTTAAATAAATTTTATTTTATAAAATGTTAAAATAAAAATATACAAATTTTCTAGTAGGTGTTAATGGTTATTAGTCAAAGGTTTAAGTTTATAGTTCCAAGTAGAAATTGATGAGGGTGGAATGAGCCAAAGGAACACTATTAATGAATAGCCTAATGTGGGATTCAAATAATATTAGCTTTTAATATTGAAGTAACAATGGTTTGTAGTTTCGAATAAAATAAAATATAGATATTATGTTAGTGACAATGAATAAAATAGCACCTACGATTGACAAATGCATATTTTTACTAAAGTATATTTAACATACCAATATACCATAGATGTAAATATGTTATATTGTTATGTACCTATGCAAGAACAAGAATAGGTATAAATTTAATAAACATTTTACGTGAACACATTTTAGAATATGGGTCGACTGGAACCAAAAACAATCACCAGGATTTAGACCTAGAGTGACCATGACATCTATATAATTTTTAAAAGTTGTTTTTAAACGATTTTTGCAACATGCATAAAGACACTTGAAACATTTATAGGTAAATAATAACTATACCTATTATAAGTTAGATTATAATTTAGCTAACTATAAAATTAATTATTATTTAAAATGTCTTTATTTTTTTATTATTGTTGTATCTCAACTATAAACAATATAAAACAAAAACAATTTATAATAATGACAGAAACGAAAAAAACACGTGTAAGTAAAGCTCATACAGTTACATTTTTAACTTGTCTGAAATATAAAATTAAAAAGTATCTTTAATCTTTATGTACCTACCTACAAAAATTATATAAATAAAACTTTTAAAAATACATAAATCTGGCCACTCTAGGTCTACAGTTATACTTTAAAGTTTAACTGTGTGTAACTGTAAGCGTGAATTATTTTAAATTATAAAATTTGGATAAAATTTAGTAGATTAAAAAAATGTATGTAGCGGCGTTGTCATATTTGTAATGGTAATATGTATTATGATAATTTATGTTCATAATATTTATTGTTATTAAATACTTGAATATAAAAACGTCTTTTTTTAATTCTAAATTAATTCGTTTTATTTTTATTATATTATTCACAGAATCACCTAAATAATTTAAATAACTTTTTTTCAAGAGTAAACCTACTGACATTTTGTAAAGTTTTAAGTTCTAGTTTAATATAACTCAATTTTTTTTTTTTTTTAAGTGATTATAAAATAGATGACCAGGGCGCTTACAGAGTTTACCTCGTCACTATGTAATGACAATTGCAATGTTCGATTTGAATTCAATGATAGATCCTTGAAAAAAGATTCTTAGTCAGACGGTCTGTACATACTACATTTTCAAGCATTAGCTATACAAATTAAGCATTCAATACATTTTTAACTAAAAAATATTTATGTGATATTGGCGAATTTTTCCAAAATTTGAACAATAACTTAAACAGTTATAAAAACATGCATATTATGTATTTTTAATATTTTTAAATCATCAAAACTGATTTTGTGTAAAAATTTCAGTTATTCCAATTTATTTTTTTGTTTTTCCCAAACATTAAAAAAAGTAGGATGGTACAGGGAATTTCTTACTTTTTACCACTTTTTTAATGGTAGGTTCCACTCTCAAAGTACCAACTACATTCGAATTTCCATTAGAAAAAATATTGGAATTGAAAATTGTAACATTTTTGTCTACTTACTACAAAAAAATTCAGACAAAAAAAATAATTTAAATTAAGGGGGCTGCAGCAGGTTTTGTCAAAAGTCAAAACTAATGTAGATTTGACCAATCCAAACATTAATTTTGTTTGTTATAATGTTTTTCAATATATTTAAATTCCGTATCATAAAATAAATCTTAAGAGGACTGGATGGGGCTCCAGTCAATGAAAAAAAAGTGACTTTTAGAATTTAGACCAATAAGCTAGACCAAACTGGAAGAATTTAGTTTGACAGATTTTAATTTTTAAAACGGATTATGATTGATCAACAAGTTGACTAGGGAAGATCGAGGCCATTTTAAATATTCAAATTATTATTAGTGTCATAATGAATAATATAAATACAAAAATATCATATTTTTTCGATATTTTTATTCTTGTATATCACAGCTGAAAAATAAAATATTCAGAATAGCCTCGATCATTCCCTAGTAAACTTGTTGATCAATCATAATCAGTTTTCAAAATTAAAATCTGTCAGACCAAATTCTTTCAGTTTTGTCTAGCTCATTGGTCTAAAAGTCACTTTTTTTCATCTGCTGCAACCCTCTTAATAAAAACACACATCATTGGATAATCGATACAATCACTTCGCTCAGAAATTACGAGTAGGTACTTCAAATAATATAAAAAAAACTGATAAACCATTCTTGTAAACGGTTTAAAAAGCATTCTTATTTCTCTTCATCGAGTTTTAATAAAACATTTTTTTACTCACTCAATGGTATGCTGCAATTATAATACTCAGTACTGAAGTTAAACTGGACTTCCACAAGTCTAATAATTCTGGTTCACTGTCACCGATTGCTTCTGCTATCATAGAAACCAACACGTCTCCAATAACCTTAAACATTAATAACACTTATTAGTTATTTTCTGTTATTTTACATCATAATTTAGATTACTATTAGGATTTTTTGATGTCATACCCGATTTTACTAAGATATTATAGTTACTGATATTGAGATACCGATTAATAACGTCGGGATTAAGGTCAAAAAGTTACTAAATTCATGACATCATACATAATATTATTTTTTCCGTCAAAAATCAAACATTAATATTATTATTTATTACAGACCTGTTGGTCACAAACACTACGAATTAAATTCCTGTTAAATTCCAAGTCTCCGCCTATTATGGTTTTTACCATAAGCAGACTTGTTAGAAATGTATGTGGATGCAATCACTTATCATGATTTACTAATCTGTGAGGGGCTTGCCCCCAAAACTCTCCACTTTGTTACTAATATTTACCACCACCACTGCATGATTAGTAAAAAATAAAGATTTTATCAAATTAAAGTTCGATAATAAGTCGTTTAGTCGTCAAAACGCGATGAATCACTAGGAGTCATTAAACTTATTTTGGCATTAGGTACAGCTGGTACAAGATAAAATATAATTTTAATTGGAGAACTAATAAATATATAAGTCTATAAGGTATTTATTGTTTAATATAAATAATAACAGCTAATTATATACAAATAGATAGTAATATATACTAAAATATAAAATAATAACGGTGTATTACTGTTATTTTAGTAAATGGTTATTGCAGGAAGTTATATTCCATACATGGTTATCATTTTACCATTTTAAAAATAATAGTATAGGTAATTAAAAAATTAAACTTAATCATGTCTTTATATTTATAAATTATTGAAGTGGTCTATGAGATTACATGATTATTACTTAAATTGCATTATGTTAATTTTGTTATCTATTAAACATAATATTTCTGACTGTTGTCTGTGAGTGCAAATTATATTCTTGCCACCCCCCTCCCTCCAGAAAAATGACTGCCCCTTCCATATTTCGCCACTGATTTTGACTCTATATTTCCATTATTATCTATTATTCAGTTATTCAGGATAAAACAGCTTATATATATATATTATAGGTATAGATTTAATTTAATAAATATTGTTATAATATGATAAACAACATTACTTTATTATCAAGTTAAAAAAAAAAATCCATAATAAACCTTATTTTTTTTTAAGCTACTTGTCTGTCTACCTACCAAAATATTAACACTATTGTAATCTATATATCTCGACATCTCGTCTATATTACCTATTATTAGTGTTCGTATATAAACAAATAACATAATATGATCAAATAAAATGTATATCCAATTTCTGATTTTACGGATTGTTTTGTTATCTATTACTTAATATTATATAGGTACCTAAGTACAATTTATGTTTTGAATTTATTTATTATATTTTATGTGTAATTTATATATTTTTTGCAGTTAAAAATATAAAATCTACAGAATTATTATATTTTTAACTGCACAAAAATATATATATATATAATATAATATATATTTGATGCATTCTTGTACCTCATCTGCCCGATTAAGTATCGAAATGGAAACCATTGATATACATAAATAAAAGCAATACTAAATTCTACTATTACTATTATAATCTGCAACCAATGGAAACCATTTATAAACATAAAACAAATGTGTATATCAAAAATCATTTCTTATTGCACATCTAGAGCATTAGAGGAACCACTATTTCAAATTTCATTTTTGTACGTTTTGTAAGTTTTGAGATATAGCTGTGAATAAGTGAGAGGTGTTTTGATTATTATTATATTTAATTTATCTAGTTTAATAGTTTTTTTTTCCTGCATTGTATTTGATTAATTTATAGTTTAAAAAAAACTGTATATAATATGTTTTGTTAAATCCACTTTAGTTTGTTGGACTTAAGATAATTTTTTAATAATAAATATTCACTCACCTGAAAATGTTTCGCTGTAAGTCCATATTGTTTATGCTTTATTCCAAGATTAGTAAGTAACTTTTCTAATTCTTCAGGTTTATCAAGGTGATCGATAGTTGACGCCAATGCAGCACCTACTTTCGATGCATGTGACATAAACTGAGGATTAGACTCAAGTTCATCTATCGATAAGTTCTTAAGCTTTTTGAATAATGATTGATACTCGGGATTTTCTTTAAACAACCTTATGATAATAAATATTATTAAGAACAATAAAAATATTAACTTTATGCCGATAAAACAGTATCAGAAGTTATTTAACTGTATCTACCTATATTCAGTATGCATGCAAAATAAAATAAAAAATATTTAATTACCTACACAATTATTATGATGGAAGAGTTTTCGTTGTCAAAAATTTAACAAATAGATATAGAAAAAATAAATATATTTTAATAAAGGTTTTTTTTCTTTCTTTTAATATATATTATTTCTAATGTTTTATGTAAGAAACACGACATTTTAAGAGTAATATTTCCAAAGTAAAATGTAATGTATGATACTTTGATTTATAACCTCGACTTGTCATGTTTAATGTTGTTGTGTCAACAAACGCTGGTAGTCGTTTCAACAGTTAAAATCCCAAAACTTGAACCAATTATTTTAAGTGATGAAATTAATAAGCTTAATATACTAAAATAGCTATGAGTTTTGACATAAATACTAGATAATTTTGAAAATGAATTTCATAATTGATTGAATTATCAACAAACGTATGACAAGAGTATTTATTTAAGAGCTATAATGTTAGATATGTTTCATAATTATACAATTTGAATAAGGTACTTTTAGATACCTTACAATAACGTTCTGAGATATTTCAATTAAATATAAGGGTTTTCAAACGGTAACTTATTTTTATATAGCTGTAAATTAATGGAGTTTCTCGAAGAAGATTTCATATTAAAATTAATTTGTATTGATGAAATTTGAAATACATCTTATGAAGATTGGTTTTATATTTTATCATTGATTCGTCTTACAAGAATAACATATTGAATTCAAACTCGTGGAAAATTTAAATAGTTAGATTGGGTAATTTTTTTTAATGGACCATAAACATATCCATGATATAGCGATATAAAATTTGTATGCATGTATAAATAGGTACCTGATTACCAATGCTGACGCCAACTGGCTCGGGTCCTGTGCAAGCAATGACCATGAGTCCTTTAGTTGCGAAATTTGAAGGGGACTCAACGAACTTGCCATTTTATATGTTCAAGTGCACAATATGCCCGGCGACCGTTAGCTAAAGTCGACGAAACTGAAATGCGGAACGTTTCGAGACAGACTGAAACAGTTGTACGAACTGTACCTACTCATGTAAGACTCCGCTACACACTGTACACGCACACACTCACAATAGTACACTCCACGCACAAAACGCACATATGCACACACACGCGCGCGCACACACACCACACTCACAAATCCATATAAACACACGCGTGTGTGCACACGCACACGCACACAAATTGCGTCATGTGTGTTTGAACACTTGTAAACACGTCTAATACTTATATTCAGATAAGCGCTTTAAATCATTACCCGGAATACGTTTCGATCAACGTGTAGGAGCACTGATAGAGTGTATATAGTGTATTATACGCTGCACTGCTAAGGCGTTTCGGTTTTATAGTTCCACCGTGGCTTATTATTATATTTCACTGTAGGCTTAATAGGAACTGAATAAAAAAAAAATCAATCGACACTGCTAACAGTAAACGCAAGGGAACCGAAGAATAGGTCAATTTGTATACGCTGCCGAGTCGTATTTTATAATAATACGGTGTGTATAACAAATCGGAAAGATTCAATCATCTAACCGTGCGGTGTGTGTTCTATTATATTGTACTTACCGTGAAATGGGGTCACTCCAGGCAGAATTGAACTTTATTTTAAATTAATCTTAATATATTTTATTGTTTTTTAAAATAATAAAATAATATACCATGGTCATTAAGTGGTCGTAATCATAATATTGCAGATGAATAATCATTAAGTTCATTAAAGTTCCCAGTTTTTTTAAAAATTGAATTAAATAAATAGAAATAAAAGAAATCATACATTTTATTCAAATATAACTTAATTAATCCAATATTTTAAGTAACTAGATTTTTTTGCATTTAAATTATCACATATTAGTATATTACACTTCTTAATTCTTGGTATTCCAAAGGCTTCAGAAACCCGTCATATTGACATATTTCATAATATTAAATATCGTAAAATTAATTTTAATAAAGTCAGATTTACAATTTTAATAGGACCACCTACCCTTCTCCACCTTTTTAACGTATGATCTAAGCGGGTAACACATGATTCCGTACAATACATATTTTTATCTACCAGGTTCCACACATTTTCGTACATAATACAAAATATTTTTTTTATCTAGCCGGAATGTAACACGATTGCGCATAAAAATTGTTGCGACGTTGTCAGTTATGGTAAAAACATGTATATATATATATATTATTATATTAAATAAAGCAAATAATTAAAAATAAATTATATAGAACAGTTTATTTCAATATGTTTCTATCCAATATCCATGACTAGACTAATAAATTTATAATAAATGTGAAGAACATGGTAGTTTGATTTCTATGTATAAATAATTTTATATAGTTTTAATTTTCAAACTATTGTTAAAGTAAAATGAATATAAAAAAAAATAGTAAAAATGAATTAATATTTTGAACAGTTTAAATAGAGAAATCAAATACAATTTGCATCTTCCGGAGCATATATTATAAATTGTTGATTTTCAAACGTGAAACATTTATCAGTTTTTAAAATCCCCAGTTGTTGTAAAGAATATTATTTAATGATGTTGGAAGCACAAGCAAAATGTTTTGTTCCTAATTTCTCTCCGACACAATAATACGAATTTCTGAATTATTCAGTTTAATGTATACATTCAATCTAGAATTTGGGATAGAACTAAAATAATGTTATAATATGTCTAATATATGTATAATATTGATATCAACCATTTGTATGAATATAATTATTTTTAACATACAATCAGCAACCTCGCAAATTAGTTTAATGCGGAATCGGTAATTGCCGATAAAAAATTAAAAAACCTGCCTCAGTTTCGTTCAACTATTCACAAACTTTTTTTTTTTAAATAATAGTTTAGGACCAATAAACTGGAAATACCCACACATCCCAATCCAAGGGTCACATGTCCAAACCTATTATTGTATATTCTAATTGAAATGAGAGAGCCGAAAATAGTTAAAAAGTGTGCTGCAAATGCGAACTCGTTGACTATGATAACGCAATTCTTGGTTGTCGCTCAGCAGTTATACGCACATAACTTCTGTTGTACCGCAAGATGACCACCTTTAGCACTTTCTTTTTGCGTTTTTCATTAATGGTTTGAATAATGTTTTTGTGCATCGCCGCTTCTCTTGACCTTTGCCGATCATGTCATATTGTTTATAAAAATTAATTCTGAGGACGACTGCTTCCGCCTTCAAAACAAGTTCAATAGCTTAGTTATATGGTTAAATTATATTGGTACTCACTAATGACCGCGATGGACAGTCCCCGCCGATCGTAATCGGATACTTATACTATGTGTACCTATCTATCATAAATAAATGGTGAATGTTATGCAACAACTCTTTCCTTACATAAAAAAAATTATTATTTAGTATACATAGTATAATGCTTGATTGCTATATGTTAGTATTTTTTACATACGAGTATTATGTATTACATTAGTCATCATCACTCGGAGAATATCGCTGAGCTGGTTTTCTAGATCTAATTGGTCTGGGTGTTTTATTTAACACTATATAGGATTAGGATGTTTATCCGTACATACTTGAACTTTTCAGAATTTCAATTGATTTACTAGAGGTTGTATGTGAAATGGAACTACTTGTAGGTGTCAATGATTTATCAACGAGTAATTGATCATTATTATGTCTTTTCCAAATAATTCCGTCATTAATTTCTACATCATGCATAAAGCATATTTTTACTAATGCATTTGATAATTCTACCCTACACCCATTTATTATTATTATTATTATTATTGTTATTCCTATAATCTTTAACTAAAACTTTATCATCTACATGAAATTAGATTTTCCTATTACCACCACTGTTTATTTGCGATATTTGTCGTTCAATGACCACTTCACTTGTATTCGGTTGGCAGTAACGTGTCATATTGTAGGTAAACGATTTGAATGGCCTAACACTAGCTTTTATCGTGTTGTAGATAAGTTTTATTATGATACATCAAAAGAAATGTATCTAATTGAGATTGTGCTGTTGAAAATTTGCAAATTTGTAGTAAAATAATGAAATTTTAAAATACAATTATCTAATCTAATTGGACATTTTACCTAGAAGTTCATAGATTAGTTTTAAAATCATTTTGAGCAATATCATAGTCAGAGTTAAATAGCCAATTTAACTAGAAATTATTTTAGAGTATTTTCAACAATTTATTAGATAATATAATATTATATTATATAATATTCTCCGTGGCTCGCTTTATAATGCACTATCCTACACGTATAAACAAAAAAATAAAATCATTGTAAAACTAATATGTTCCTAAAATAATAAGGTATCAAATAAAAATGTGTGGTATTCCAACAAAAATACTCCGTGTAAAAAAAACGCATAAAAAATAACTCCTCTAAAAGTTGTGATATCATTTCATAGCTAATTAGCAAAGACGTCTTTGAACAATAGATATCATTTATGTTAAAATAGCCTGCTAAATAATTGAACTTAGCTTGGCGACTTAAATTTTAAACTTACTATAATTATTTAGCAGACTATTTGAACATAAATTATATTATCTATATAGACTATAGTTCAAACATTTAGCAAATGATAGGTACACAACTATAGAGCTGGTTTTTTTTAAAAACTTGGCGTTTTCTTTATTCTGAGTGTTTTTATTGATACTTTATTACGGGACTAGAAATAAGTAATAACGTGCTTTGAGATAGAATATTATTAAGTAATAAGTTTTTTAAAACAATTACGTAAATTTATTATGGTAGTTACAGAAGATGAATTTTTAATTCGAAACCTGGTCGTTAAATATAAACCTAATAATACTAAAGGCTAAGCTTTATTTATTTTATATTATACACGATTGTATGAATAATATATTATATATTATTATTCCTTTTAATATTTATATTGTTTATATTGTATTAGTAATTCTCGCATCAACGAGAGTAGTGGGATATATAATCGGTGTATCGGGGGGAGGGGGGACAATATTATATTTTACGATATTTTCGTCGCATAGGTACGAAAAACCAAACTTAAAACAACTTGAACATTTTGGGTTGTAACTTTTAAGCCATCCAACCAATCTACTTTCGAGTTCCTCCGTTCACATCTGCACAATATTTCTGATCGATTGTCCCTTATGTTGCACCGTGCCGCACCTACTTTTCTATATAGCGGTTTGCGGCAAAAACTCGTGTTGTGTTGAGGACTTAAAGGTGACCGACCCAGTGAGTTTATATTAATACAGACAACCCAATAGAGCTGAGCGCGAAATGTTATAATAATAATAATAATAAATATCAATACAAATAAATAATCATTACTTAAATCTAATACATTCAACTTCGCGATGACTATAGTAGGTCACTCGACCAAAAATTATACAAAACGAAATATAATAACATAATAAAATAGGTATATAAACCAAAAACCTGACGTCTACAATGCCGTAACGATGCAGGACACAGCTCTTCAATCGCATCAATAACAACCACAACAATCAAGGGTAGCGAGAATACGGCCAAATAATCCTTCCCGAGTATCTCGGGTGGCACGTATCTTGGCGTTTTCAATAAACGCGACACGTTATCCGACCCGCGGAACGACGATTTAGTACCGTACAGACAGGACGACTTGACAACAAAAACGCGTCTGCCGTACACGCTGTCCACAGGAGCATACACGGCACTCGGCGAAATAACAGCCGCGACGGTAACGTACAGACACGACGACTTGGCAACAAAAACGCGTCGGCCGTACACGTGGTCCACATGAGCACACACGGCACTCGGCGAAATAACAGCAGCGACGGTAACGTATAGACACGACGACTTGGCAACAAAAACGCGTCGGCCGTACACGCGGTCCATAGGAGCACACACGGCACAGGCGAACGGACGCGACGTGCGCCAGGTTCGACCGTCCGGAAA